GGGACACTGCGGTACCACCCCTTGGGGCGTTCGGTTGAGTTCCCTGTGGGGCCACGAAACGTGTGAGCGGTGTACCGACATGGGCTCGGGGACGCTATGCGGTACCGCCCAGTGGGGCGCTCGGTGGAGCTCCCTAAGGGGCCACGAAGCGTGTGGTGGGGGCTACCGACATGGACATGCGGAGGGCAGATGCAGGGATCGGGGATAGGGAGGATGGTAGAGGTGGGGAAGCACGGACGTAGAGAGATTCATATCAAAATTAAGGATTGAAGGATTTTGACGTGCGCGCGGCGGCGCGCGCACGTGCCCCGTGATGCGTTTTTGGGGCAAGGGAGTTTACTACTTATCTTGGCGCAGGACCCAGCCATATGCAAGGGTGAGCACCGCAAGGCAGGCGGGACGGAGGGGATCTCCCGATGGGGCCACGAAGCGTGTGAGGAGTGTGGCGAAATGGTTGGGAGCCGCATGTGGACGCACCCCGTAGGGGCGTTCTGTGGAGCTCCCCATGGGTCCATAAGGCGTGTGCAAGGGGTGTGCTGACATGGACTGGGGGGCTCTGTGGCACCTGGGGACGTTCGGAGGAGCTCCCAAAGGGGCCACGAAACGGGTGGGTGCGCAGAAATGGTTTGGGGGACGCTATGCGGCACTACCCCGTGGGGGCGTTCGGTGAAGCTCCCTATGTGGCAGCGAACCGTGTAAGGGGTGTGCCGGAATTTGCGAGGGGTTGCTATGCGGCACTGGGTGTGCCGACGTGGGCATTGGGACGCTATGCGGCACCACCCCCTCGGGGCTTTGGTGGAGCTCCCTTTGCGGCGACGAAGTGTCTGAGGGAAGAGGGAGGAGGGGGAGGGGCCAGGATGGAGGGCGCGGGGTGCTGTCTGTTCACAAGGAGGACAGAACACAACAGGATGTTCTGGAGAAGCACTTCCCAGTGCAACGCACGTGTACCGCATGATTTTCATGGGATGGCCTGGGGCTGTGTCGATCCCGGCTGGGCTGGCATTCTACTATAGGATATTGAAGATAAGCGATCGTTCGTAATACATGTGGAAAACAATACGCGGAGGAGGGGTGGCTCCCCCCGTCATATCCGAACTATTTGTTAGAAGTGAGAGTCAGTATGGGGTACTCTATGTGGTGCAAGCTGTATCGGGTAAGATCTGCGGTGCAGGCTATGTGATGGAAGCCATGCGGTGCAAGCTATGTGGTGCGAGCCACGTGGCACAAGCTACGTGGTGCCTGTGTGGCGTGGGCTCTGTGCATGGGCTGGCATGCGCCGGCGAGGCGCCCACGCCCGACCGCGGGTGGCAGCGTGGCGAGACTTCGGCACACCTGTCCAGCGGGTCGCTCCCGGGCGGCAGCGGGTTGCAACGTGGCGAGAACTCGGCACGCCTATTTAGCACACGAAGCGCCCACGAGGCGCCCACGAGGCGCCCACGGGACACCCATCCGACTCCTTATGTAACACAAGGAAAGACCCTGAAGTGAAATCATTGTTTTGGGAACAGACGGGATGATGTAAAGTTACATGAGGAGGTTCATGATGAGGAACATGAGGACGATGTAAAGGGAGGGGTAGGATGCTCATGATGCAGATTGTATGGAGGGGTGTGTACGATGATGGCGACGACACATGCGATGATTATGCGGTTGCTGTTGATGATGATGGTAGTGATGGTCTTAGGATGAGGTGGGCAGAGAGAGAGAGAGGCATACACATATATATATATATAGATATACATACACACATGGGGTGAGTGAGTGATGGGGGGAGGCGGAGTATTAGGTCAATGGTCCGATGATGTTAAGGATGAGGGAGAGGAGTATGCTAATGACGATGATGATGACGATGATGGTGATGAGCAGGAGGAGGAGCAGGAGGAGGAGGAGTAGGAGGTCGATGATGAGGCCGATGATGATGAAGGAGAAGATGATGATGATGATGATGATGATGGCTATGATGATGATGATAATTCTGATGCTGGTGATGATGATGAGGATGAGGATGAGGATGCTTCTGATGCTGATGATGATGCTGCTGATGATGATGACGATGATTCTGATGATTATGATGATGAGGATGATGAGGAGGAGGAGGAGCAGAAGGAGGAGAAGGATGAGGAGGAGGAGGAGGATTGTGTGAAGGATGAGGGTGATGTTAGGGAGGAGGATATGGAGGATAATGCTGAAGGTGCTGACGATGGTGTCGCCGACGATGCCGACGATAATCATAATGCTGCTGCTTATGCTGCGGATGATGATGCTGATGATGATGATGCTGATGCTGATAATGATGGTAATGCTGATGATGATTATGATGATGATGGTGATGATGGTGATGGTGATGGTGATGATGATGATGACGATGATGATGATGATGATGATGAGGATGATGCTGATGATGATGATGATGATGATGATGATGATGATGATGATGATGGTGATGATGAGGGTGATGAGTGTGACGAAAGTCAAGGAACTCGATACGTATGCTCGTTGGCTTAGTTTTTGGATTTTGAGGTCAGACACTGTAAGCCGGCAAGGAGTTGATGCCAGGGGTGGGTCGCAGTTTGCGTCTTCGCAGCGGCGGGACGTTGAATCTCGTGGATCCAGAAAGCCGACAAGTTGAACCGTGTCCGGATTTTACGTGGTTTCCGGGTTTTCGTGCGCTTCGGCATTCCATATGTTAATGTTTCGGCTTCTCGACTTTCGCGCCTTTCGCGAAGTCCAGGTGGTGGGCGCGTGTTTGTTGTTGCGACCCGTACACTTTTCGCACTTGTCGTGTGTTTCGTCCGCGCGTTTGGCTTTTCGTTTTCTGTAGACTGCTCGCGCGCTGCTGGCGGCCGTTGCAGCTCAGCACTGGGGCTGTTTCGCATGCCTCGTCTGGCCTCTAGGGGCCCCCCCGTCCCCGACCCTCCTCGGAAACGGGGGGATGGAGAGGCAGGGATGAGGGAGTCAATCCAGTGTGGTGTTCATAAGCACTTGGCATCGAAGCGCGGACTGGACCTCATTTTTGTCCTCCATACGTGCATCCCTTTGCTAGCGGGTACCCTCATGAGCGTGTGAATACGAGTGAACCCGAGTGAACCTTCATGAGCGTGTGAATACGAAAGTACAAGCGACAGGGTACGACTGAGTCTGGACGTGAGTGACTTCGAGTACTGGTGACTGAACATGAGTAGGTCTGAGTATGAGTCGTGCCGAGTACGCGGGGGTCTGAGAACACAGGAGTCTGAGTATGAGCATGTCTGGGTATGATTGTGTATCAGTGTAACATGGCTCGAGTTGGAGTCGGAGGAGATGTGAGTGGGTCTGGGTATGTGTGGCTCAGCATGGATGGCTGAGTACGAGTGGCTCCGAAGTTGAATGGGTCTGCGTGTGATTGAGCCTGAGTGTGCGTGCGTCTGAGTTTGAGTGGGTAGTTTTATCGGGTCTGTGTGTATGAGTGGGCATCAGCATTACTGAGTCTGAGTCTCCAGGAGCATGACTATCAGAGAGTATGGGAACACGTACGAGTAGCGTCTGTATATGATTTCAGGGTGAGCGATTGTATGTATGAGTGGGTTCGCACAGTTGGTTCTCTGTGTGGCCGTGCCAGGTTACCCCACGTGTGAGTGAGTCTAGCTATGAGCGAGTTTGCGTATGAGTGGTCAAGTGTGAGCAAGCCTGGGCGAGGACGATGGTGATGATACCAATGACGATGCTGTTGCTCATGATGAGGAGAGGGACCTGGTAGGAGGTGGGGAGGGGAGATGGAGGGGGAAAAGGGGGGAAAGGGGACCATGGTGTTGCTGATGGTGATGGTGATGGTGATGATTCTGCTGCTGCTGATGATGATGATGATGCTGATGCTGATGCTTCTGCTGCTGCTGATTATGACGATGCCAATGGCCATGACGATGATGACGCTGTTGATGATGGTGACGATTATGATCGTGACTGTCCAGATGATGATGGTTACGGCGAGTATGAGGATGACGATACTGATGATGATGATGATGATGATGACGATGCTGATGCTGATGATGCTGATACTGATGATGATGCTGATGTTGATGCTGATGAGGATGAGGATAAGGATGATAATTAGGACGATGATGATGAGGATGAGGACGATGATGCTGATTCTGCTGATGATGTTGCTGATTTTGATGCTGCTGATGATGATGGTGATGCTACTGATGCTACTGATGTTGATAATGATGATGACGACGACGATGCTGATGACGCTGATGTTGATGATCATGATGCTGCTGCTGCTGCTGATGATGATGATGATGATGATGATGATGATGATGATGATGATAGTAATGCTGATGCTGCTGCTGATGATGCTGACTGATGATGCTGCTGATGATGCTGATGATGATGCTGCTGATGATGATGATGATGGTGCTGAGGAGGATGAGGATATTGATAATGATGATGCTGCTGATGATGCTGCTGATGATGATGATGAGGATGATGATGCTGCTGCTGATGATGATGACGAATATGATGATGATGATGATGATGATGATGATGATGATGATGATGATGATGATGATGATGATGATGCTGCTGATGAGGATGATGCTGATGATGATGATGATGATGATGATGATGATGATGATGATGATGATGATGATGATGATGATGATGATGATGATGATGATGAGGGGGAGGGGAAGGAGAAAGACGACAAGGAGGAGGAGGAGGAGGAGGAGGAGCTGGTGTAGGAGGAGGAGGAGGTGGTGGAGGAGGAGGAGGAGGAGGAGCTGGTGGAGGAGTAGGAGGAGGAGGAGGAGGAGGAGGAGGAGGAGGAGGAGGAGGAGGAGGAGGAGGAGGAGGAGGAGAAAGTAGGAAGGAAGGGGGAGGAGGAGGGGGAGGAAGTGGAGGAGTAGGAGCAGAAGCAGCACGTGCGATAAGGAGCGGGGGTTGGAGCCCGAGGGCGGGGACGGAACGGGGAGAGAGCGGATCGCCCGCCGTGCCTTCCGACAGAGCCCCCCACCCTCTCTCAGGAGCCGTGCACGGAGCCCGACCGGCCTGCCGAAGTGCAGCCGGATGCGGCGGGCGAGGCGTCGGCGCGGAAGCCGCCGTGGCGGAAGGCGCACAGGGTCGCCAGCAAGGAGAGCCAGGCGGGGGACCCCCCTTTGGGGAGGAGGAACTCAAGGGAGGAGGAGGAGCAGGAGGAGGGAAAAGAAGGATGAGATGATGATGATGCTGCTGATGATTAGGATGATGAGGATGATGATGATGCTGATGATGATGATGCTGATGCTGATGAAGATGCTGATGATGATGCTGCTGATGATGATGAAGATGATAATGCTGATGATTATGATGATTATGATGATGCTGATGATGACGATGATGGTGATGCTGCTACTGCTGATGATGATGAGGATGATGACGTTGGTGATGATGATGATGACGATGGTGATGATGAGTATGATGATGATGATGATGATGATTACGATGATGATGGCGGTGGTGATGCTGATGATTATGATGAGTATGATACTGATGATGCTGGTGATGATGATGATGATGATGGTGGTGGTGGTGCTCATGATGATGCTGTTGCTGCTGATGATGATGTTGGCATGGGTGATTTCATGATAGTGACAGGTGATGATGATTTTGATGATGCTGCTGTTAATTGTGAACAGGACGATGATCACAATGGTGGTGGTGATGATGACGATGACGATGATGATGCTGACGATGCTGATGTTGATGCTGTGGATGATGATGGTGGCGGTGGTGGTTTCATGATAATGACAGGTGGTGATGGTGCTGTGACGATGATGATGATGACTATGCTGATGTTGGCGTTGTTGATGCTGATGGTGGCGGTGGTAGTGGGGATAATGTTGTTGCTGCTGCTGGCCATGATGATGATGCTAATGACGATGCTGCTGCTGATGATGATGATGATGATGACCTTGGTTGTGGTGATTCTGATTGTGATGGTGATCACAATGATTATGATCCTGACGATGATGGTGCAGCTGATCATGTTGGTGGCTGTGATCATGATGACGATGATGATGCCAATAATGACAGACGATGATGTGGATGATGATTATGAGGATGCTCCTGGTAATTCTGTTAAGGATGATGATCGTACTGGTGATGATGATGCTGATGATGAGTGTGATGATGATGATGATGATGATGATGATGATGATGATGATGGTGATGGTGCTTATGTTGATGTTGATGTCGTTGATGCTGCTGATGCTGGTGGCGGTGGTGATGATGGTGTTGTTGCTGCTGGTGATGATGATGGTGATGATGATTATGATGATGCTGGTGATGATGCTGGCGGTTGTGTTGTTGTGCTGCTGCTGGTGGATGTGGCGGTGATCATTATCATGGGTTGATGATGGTGGTGAGGATGATGATAAGGTTTGTGATGATGTTGTTATTTAGGCTGAGGATGTGGTGATGATGATGATGATGCTGATGATGATGACGATGATGATGATGATGATGATGATGATGATGGTGATGATGATGATGATGATGATGAGGAGGAGGAGGAGGAGGAGGAGGAGGAGGAGGAGGAGGAGGAGGAGGATGAGCAGGAGGAGGGAGTAGGAGCGAGGAGGAGGGGCCCAAGGAGGTTCCTCCTCTCTCCCCATCTCTCCGCCCTCCCTCCTATCGCCCTCTTTTCACCCTTCGCGTGCGCGCTGGGGGGGAGGGGGAGGGGGGGCGGGCGACGCAACGAATTTCGGCGTCGACGATTTCCGCCACAACAAGAACATTCTGTCGTCTATGTTGCCAAGTGCGTGGCAGCACCGGGGGTGGTCGCACATTCTTCGCGAAAGGCCAACATTTCGCTCTCGCCTCGGCGCCGCGGTCATTTTTCTAGAGAGCTGAGCTCCCGCTGGGGTGGGGCACGCATTTTTCGCACGTCACTTCGTCGACGCGCGAGCGGGCGAAGATGTAGCTCTCGCCTCGGCACCGCGGACTTCGCCAGAACGCTGCGTTCCTGCCTCCATGCCCTACTTTTTTGTCATTCGCCAATGTCTGAGGGCCCGCGCGGGTGGGCGACTGGTCGCCCTCGCCCAGGCTCTGTGCACATTTTGTTCGGCAGCGGTGTCCATCGCGGCCGCGGTGCACGGCTCGCTCGTCGAATCGCGTGCAAGCGGCGGCAGCGGGGCCGCGCAAAACGCGCGGCCCGCGCGGTGTTCTGCTCGCCGAGCTGTCGGAAGCGGGGCCGCGGGCGAGCGCCTTCCGTTTGCGAGGCTGGAGCGCGTTCCACGTCCAGTACCCAATGGTGTAACAACTGATTCTCATGCCGTGGCAGGGAGGGTGGAACGGAGTGGGGTCCTCTGACTCGCCCGACCTGGCTAAACGGACTCCTACATACTCCTACTCTCCTCTGCTTTCCCCTACTCAACTCTACTCTACTTTACTCAACTCTACTCTACTTTACTCTATTATACTCTACTCTGCTCTACTATACTCTACTCTACTCTACTCGACTCTACTCTACTCTACTCTACTCTACTCTACTCTACATTCTGCTATTCTGCGTTACGCTACTCTACTTTACGCTACTCTACTCTACCCGACTCTACTCTCCCCTACTCTACTCTCCCCTACTTTACTCTTCTCTAATCTACTCTACTCTTCTCTGCTTTGCTTTGCTCTGCTCTACTATGCCCTACTCTACTCTACTCTACTCTACTCTACTCTACTCCGCTCTACTCTTCTCTACTGTGCTCTACTCGACTCTGTTCATAGCAAATCATAGTATACTCTACTGTGCTCAAATATATCCTGCTCGATTGCATTATTTACCCATCTTCTCCTCTGCTCTATTCTACATTGCTCTACTCCTCTCTGTCTCAACCCACCCCACTCCATCTCACCCTACCCTGTTCTGATCTATGCTACCCTACGCTATTCTGCTCTGCTCTGCTCTGCTCTCTGCTCTCTGCTCTACTCCTGCTCCTACTCCTACTCCTGCTTATACTCATACTCCTGCTCCTACTCCTGCTCCTACTCCTACTCCTACTCCCACCCCATTCTGCTCGGCTCTCCTCTCCTCTCCCCTCCTCTCCTCTCCTCTCCTCTCCTCTCCTCTGCTCTCTACCCTATACTCTACTCTATAGTTCACTCTTCTCTACTTTCCTTTCTTCTACTCTGTTCTGGACGGGTTGCGTAACCCAGCCGGCCATCCAGAAATGATGCCCAGGCAAGTTGCCCCGATCTCCTCGCAGCGGCATATGATACGCTATCTCCGACTACAAGTACGCTCAGACCGCAAGACCAGGCCATGGACGCAACAGCAACAACGACGACGAGGACCATGCCGACCAACTACGCTACGGACCACGCCGACCCGACCAACGACGACTCGAACTGTATTCGGCACACTGTCAGGTACCGTCGCTAATGCTCATGCCATTACTTGCTCACGTTCGGGGCACCGTGACAGCGCGTGGCCTGCACATGCAAATCACAGTTCACATTGCAGCGACGAGCACTACTGCCAGCACTGCAGTGGGCATGTCGTGTGCGGGGCCTCGGTGTCGTGCGCGGGGTGTATCACTGCCAGGCAATTTCGATGCTACTATACACATAGCTCTCGTGTCGTCGTGAAGGATTGCCCTGGTCAGAGACGTGGAGGAGCATGCAGTGGACTAGGGGTATGGGGAAGCTGTCCCAACCTAAGACGGGCACGATGGAGGAGGAGGAAGCGGAGGAGGAGGAGAAGGAGGAGCAGGAGGAAGAGGAGGAGGATGAGATGAGGATGAGGATGCGGATGCTGATGCTGCTGATGATGATGCTGCTGCTGCTCCAGATGATGCTGAGGATGATGAGGATGATGATGATGCTGCTGCTGCTGCTCCTGATGATGATGATGCTGATGCTGATGATGATGATGATGTTGACGATGGTGATGCTGATGCTGATGATGTTGATGATGATGCTGATGCTGCTGCTGATGCTGATGACGATGATGATGATGCTGCTGATGATGATGACGATGATGATGCTGATGCTGATGCTGATGCTGCTGATGAGGATGCTGATTATGATGATGATGATGATGATGATGATGATGATTTTGATTTTGATTTTGATGATGATGATGATGATGATGATGATGATGATGATGATGATGATGATGATGATGATGATGATGATGATGATGATGATGATGATGATGATGATGATGATGATGATGATGAGGAGAAGGAGGAGGAGGAGGAGGAGGAGGAGGAGGAGGAGGAGGGATGAATGCGGAAGGAGGAAGGAGAAACGAGGAAGGCGGAAGGCGGAATGAGGAGGAAGAAGGAGAACTGAGGAAGGATGAAGGTGGAAGGAGGGAGGAGGAAAGAGGTAGGAGGTAGGAGGAAGGATACAGGAGGAATGAGAGAGGAGGAAGGAGGACGGACGAAGGAGGGAGGAGGAAGGAGGAAGAGGGAAGGGGAACGGAGGATTGAGGAAGGAGGAAGAAGGAAGGAGGAAGGAGGAAGGGGAAGCGAAAGAGGAGAAGGCGGCGGAGGAGGAGGAGGACGATGAGGAGGAGGAGGTGGTGGAGGAGGAGGAGGTTGAGGTAGGAGGAGGAGGAGGGGGAGGAATAGGAGGAGGAGGAGGAGGAGGAGGAGGAGGAGGAGAGGAGGAGGAGGAGGAGGAGGAGGAGGAGGAGGAGGGTGAGGAGAAGGAGGAGGAGGAGGAGGAAGGAGGAGGAGGAGGAAGGGAAGGAGGAGGAGGAGGAGGAGGGCGGCGGCGGTGGAGGAAGAGGAAGAGGAGGAGGATGAGGAGAAGGAGGAGGAGGATGAGGAGGGGAAGAGTAGTAGTAGTAGTAGGAGGAGAGGAGGAGGAGGAGAAAGAGGATGGAGGAGGAGGAGGGGGAAGAGCCGGAGGAGGAGGAGGGGGAGGAGGATGAGGAAAAAGAGGAGGAAGAGGAGGAGAAATCAGATGTTGATGATGAATAAGGTGAATCTGATGATGCTGATGATGGTGGTGATGATGCTGATGATGCTGATGATGCTGATGTTGATGATGGTGATGATGCTGATGCGGCTGATGATGATGAGGAGGAGGAGGAGGAATCCGAGATGCAGGAGCAGAAGGAGGAGGACGAGGAGGAGACGGATGAGGCGGAAGAGGAGGCGGAGGCGGAGGCGGAGGTGGAGGAAGAGGATGGAGAGGAGGAGGAGGAGCATGAGGAAGAAAAAGATGTTGATACTGGTGATGACGCTGATGATGATGAGGAGGAGCAGGATGATTATGAGGAGGAGGATGAGCTTCATCAGGAGCATGATGATGCTGCTGCTGATGCTGATGATTATGATACTGATGCGGATGCTGCTGGTGATGCTGATGATGATGGTGATGATGCTGCTGCTGCTGATGATGATGATGATGATGCTGATGATGATGATGCTGATGATGATGATGATGATGCTGATGATGATGATGATGATGATGATGATGATGATGAGGCTGCTCATGATGATGCTGGTGCTGATGCTGCTGCTTTAGATGATGACGATGATGATGCGGAGATGGATGGGGAGGAGGGGGACTCTGGCGCCGCCGCTCGAGACGGCCTCACAACTTTGGCTACTTGGGCTACTTGGGGTCCTGAGCTTGGGTTGACCCGAGTAGCTCAAATAGCCCAAGTAGCCCAAGTAGCCCAAGTAGAGGGTTAGACCCAAGTAGCCCAAGCAGCCCAAGGGTTTGACCCAAGTCGCCCAAGTACCTCGTGACATCCTCACAACTCTGGCGCCGCCGCTTGAGACATCCTCACAATTTTGGCTACTTGGGATACTTGGGTCAATCCTCTACTTTGGCTACTTGGGTCGCTCGAGGCATCCTCACAACTCTGGCGCCGCCGCTCGAGACATCCTCACAACTCTGGCTACTCGGGCTACTTGGGGTCCTGAGTAGCCCAAGCAGCGTAACTAGAGGGCCTGACCCAAGCAGACCAAGTATCCCAAATAGCCTAGGTAGCTCAGGTAGCCCAAGGGTTTGACCCAAGTGGCCCAACTAGCTCGAGACATCCTCACAAGTCTGGCGCCGCGGCTCGAGACATTCCCACAACGTTGGCTACTTGGGCAACTTGGGCTACTTGGGTCAACTCTCTACTTGGGCATATTGGGCCGCTCGAGACATCCTCACAACCCTGGCACCGCCGCTTGAGACATCCTCACAACTTTGGATACTTGGTCTACTTGGGCTACTTGGGTCAACCCTCTACTTGGACTACTTGGTCCGCTCGAGACATCTTCACAACTCTTGTGCCGCCGCTCGAGACCTCCTCGCAACTCTGGCTACTTGGGCTACTTGGGATCCCGAACGTGGGTTGACCCGAGTAGCCCAAGTAGCCCAAGTAGCCCAAGTACTTGGTTTACTTGGGCTACTTGGGTCAACCCTCTACTTGGGCTACTCGGTCTGCTCGAGACATCCTCACAACTAGTACGCCGCCGCTCGAGACATCCTCACAGCTTTGGCTACTTGAGCTACTTGGGCTACTTGGGCTGCTTGGGTCAACCCTCTACTTGGTCTACTTGGGCCGCTCAAGACATCCTCGACACTCGCACGCCGCCGCTCGAGACGGCCTCACAACTTTGGCTACATGGGCTACCTGGGCTACTTGAGTCAGCCCTCTACTTGGGCTACTTTTGCCGCTCGAGACATGCTCACAACTCTGGCGCCGTCGCTCAAGACATCCTCACAACTTTGGCTACTTGGGCTACTTGGGTCAATCCTCTACTTTGGCTACTTGGGTCGCTGGAGGCATCCTCACAACTCTGGCTCCGCCGCTCGGGACACCCTCACAGCTTTGGCTACTCGGGCTACTTGAGCTACTAGGGTCAACCCTCTACTTGGGCTACTTGGGCCGCCGCTCGAGACATCCTCGCAACTTTGGCTACTTGGGCTAGTCGGGGCAACGCCTTACTTGGGCCGGAAAAAAGTGACCGGGGGCCTCGGGGTGACTTTTTCTTCTGACGTTTTCCGCCCCGTCTGATTCGGCTTGATTCTGCTACCGTGTTGACCCGAAGCGGCGCCTCGCTGGGGGCACTGGAGTGCCACCTCGGCCACGCATCATAATGTAATGTCCCGCTAGACCTGACTCGACCTGCGCGTCGCCGCTCGGGGCATCCTCACAAGTCGGACACCGCCGCTCGAGGCATCCTCACAACTTAGGCGCCTGCGATGGAGACATCCTCACAACTCGGGCACCACCGCTCAAACCCTCTACTGGGGCTGCTTGGGCCGCTCGAGACATCCTCACAACTCTGGCGCCGTCGCTCAAGACATCCTCACAACTTTGGCTACTTGGGCTACTTGGGCTACTTGGGCTACTAGGATCAACCCTCTACTTGGGCTATTCGGGCCACTCGAGACATCCTCACAACTCGTGCGCCGCCGCTCGAGACATCCTCACAGCTTTGGCTACTCGGGCTACTTGGGCTACTTGGGCTACTTGGGCTACTTGGGCTACTTGGGTCAATCGAGTTAGAGACACTCGTCGCGGACGCACTGTTTTTGGAGGCCTGCTAGCTTCCCCCCAGCAGAAGCGACACGCAGCGGGGAATCCGTTCGAGTGCTGGGGTCGAGAGCTCCAGGCTCCCACGCGTCGTCTGGGCCTCGGCCCATCGGCGGAGACTGGCAGCAAGCCAGCGGTGGCGGAGGTATAGTGAACGGTGGTCCGCCGGCGGGAGCTGAAGGAGGCGCGGCACTCCCAAGCCTTCGACATTGGGCTTTTCGCGACTTGGGCCCACCACTACCCCAGGGACTGATCTGTCGCTGTGAGTAGTTTTTCTGATGGCCCTGGGGCTGGAAGACTGCCCCTGGGGGCCGAAACGGCAAAAACCAGTCGTAGTGTTTTGCATCGACGCTGGAGGTGTGTGCACAAATTGGCAGAAGTAAGAACACCTTCTCAAAGAGAGGTCCGTGCGGGTGTCATCAGGGCTTGCGGAGCTGGCCAGGTGGAAGAGCACCTGAACGTCCCTGCCGGCACGGTGAGCGCCGCTGTCATCGAGGCCAGAGGAGGAGGAGAAGGAGGAGGAATCGCCTTGCACCATTTTGTCGTGTATGATGGATTTGGGGGAGAGAGATAGAGGAGCACAAAGCCGAGTAGCTATCCAACGAGAGCTTCCGCCCGTGTAACTGCTGCAGATTTCTTAGATGTCGGAATAAGGTATATGAGGATATCTCAAGCGAGCGCCTCGTTGTGACAACGATCCGCTTTCCATCGATTCATGTTGCTAGAGTCCGAAGTCACAAGTGTTAGTCCCATTTCGAAAATGCCCCGCCCGAACTGGTGTAACTGTTGCAAACTTCCAAGACGAATGTGTAACATCTAGATTACGGCCTGCCCTCAATCCGACCGCTCCTCGTGCTATCTCCACAGGTATAATTGGCCCCAAGATGGGTTGCTCTTGGGGCCCGAGGTCCATGTCTTCACCGACGGGTCGGCCTTCGACGGCTCGATTTCGCTTTTGGGGGTGGCGGGATGGTCGGAGGTGGGGACGGATGAGGATGAGGATGTGCTCAACGTGCTCTTGGGGGTGGTGCCAGGATGAGGCCCCCCTCCAGGCAGCGAGGGCTGGCGAAGATTGCGGCGTCCTTCAACTCGCCCGCTACGCAGTGCTTGTGGAAGGGTGCCAGATGCATATCGATTGCGCCAGCATCGCCGCCTGCGCGTCGGACTCTCGGGCCGTTTCGAGCCCGTGCAACCCTCGGGCCCATTGGTGGGCGCAGGTCCACGACGAGCTGGACGGCGTGGTTGTGCATAAAATGCCCGCCCACTGCAGCGCCACTGATGTGGTGCGGGGGCTACTGACTCGCGTTCAGTGGCTTGGCAACAGGGCGTCTGACAGATATGCTCGTTGCGGGGCCGAGCTGTACCGCATCTCGGAGCAGGATCGCCTCCTGATCCACGGCTGTCACGAGGTGGCCAGAGAAGTACCGATTTTCTCGGCGCGGCAGGAGGCCTTCATTGCCGACGAGAGGTCGTTCGACCACGTTCCCCTCTCTTGGTTTCAGCACGTGGACCTTGGAGAGTTCCCCCCAGCGGAGGCCGACGGCCCGAGCCGCCCTCTGCAGGCGTGCGGCGGTTCTTCGGATGTGGGCGGCATGGCCGCCCCTGATTGCGGCGCGGATGCCGGCGCCTTGGAAGGCCTCAGGCCGTGGCACGCTCGCGGCCACTCGTGTTTGGAGGTGCCAATCGAAGGCTCCGATGGAGCTCTGGGCGAATCTTTAATTTTTTGCACCACGTGCGGATCCGTCGGGCACCCTGGGGCGAGGTGGGGTCGCAGTGCTCTCGCGCCGAATTGCCCTGGCGCCCGCGCGGGCGGCCGTGAGCGGCAATTGGTTTGGATCTGCGCGGGAAGCACCCATCACGTTGGATGGGCGTGTCGGCCCGGCGGCCTCCCTCTCGGACTCGAATAGACGCCCAGCATGGGCTCCCAGAGGTTCCTCCTCTCGGCCCAGCCCCTCCCCTCGCTTCGGTAGGTCGGCCTGACCTTGTCCGAGGCCTCGCCTTGTTTGGCTTCTCCTCCCGCGCCGAGTGAGTGTAGGGGCGCGGGTGCTTGAAAGGAGGTAGCGGGCGGGCCCGTCGGACTGTTTTGAGGACGTGCAGCAGGGGTAGGTTCTGTTGATGTTTGATGCATGGTATAATTCGTTTGCAGACTGAAGAGGAGGGGGAGGGAGGGGAGAGGTTGCCATGTGTAGCTTCTATGACTGAAGGAGTTGCCATCTCTTCCGCGGCGGGAGGCGGCGAAAGGGCGGCGGAAGGTCGGCGGAAGCAAAACGAGGCCGCCTCCGCCAGCGGAAGCCGGCGGAAACTCGGCGGAAGGCGGCGGAAGCAAAAGCTGTGCCCCCCCAAGAGATGAACACATGTTTGGCTTCAGGGTGCCCGAGATCGCCCCTGTCGTGCTGGTTGACCGCAGTCCACCCTCTCCGCAGATCTCCGCCGTCGTGTTCTCTCGCGACGTGGGCCCTGCACCTCCGTGCATCTCCTGCCCAGGACTGGCCCTTCGTCGCGGGTCCTCTCCTGCAGGCCCCGGGGCCCGAGGGCGGCCTCGGGAGGCCGCCGCGGCGAGACAGCGTCGGCCGTGAGCTGCTCGCGGCGCCTGGAGGTCCAGGTCGCTCGGGGCCCCCGGCCCGCCAGGCGGACACCCCGCACGACGACAACCCGATCCCGATCGGGCCCTCGTCGTTCCTGACCAGCGCCATCTTCGCGGCGGCGGCCAGGGCCGTCGGCCCTCCCGCGGCGCCAGAGATGCCCGCGCCGGGGTCGGAGCCGGAGGGCGAGCCCGCAGAGGTGCGGCGGCCTCTTGGAAAGTCTGGGGCGGAGCCAGCGGGCCATGGGTCGGGAAGACAGTTGTCTCGACTAGACGCAAGAGTGACCTCTCGCCGGAGTGACCTCTGGTGCGGGCCCCCAACGGGGGCCTCCCCATCGCTGAACGCGATCCTGTAGCAGCGGCTTGTGCGCCTGGTGGTGTCCCCAAAGGGCCCCCCCTTTAAGCCGCGCGCCAGAGGCCACTCTTGCCCGGGGTCACTCTTGCGTGTAGCCGACTGTCGGGTTGGGAGGATGGGATTGGGAGAAATGGGATATTATTCTCCTCGGGCGGCCGAAGGTATCGTTCCTTGCATCCAGATGCCATTGCCAATGCCCTTCTTCCTCCCAGCCCCTTCCTCCCGACACGACAAGTGTTCTTCTCGATGGGGGGGGCCTGCCCGAAGTGGCATTGCCCCTGGACTTTCCACCCAGCCCTGGCGTCCGGGCGTCGTGGAAGAAGTCACGACCGGCTCTAACTTGTGGCTGAGGACCCGGTTGGCTTTGGGACCCCCACGCGTCGATCTGGCTGGAGAAGCCACATTTGAGAGGAGGGTGTTGAGGCGCCGCTTGTTTTTATGCTTGTTGTTACGGCGCAGTGCTTTTTCACGACGGTGGATGTCGGGCTCGGAACGGAGAGGCGGCAGCGGCGGGGAAGAAAAAGAAGAAGACGAAGGTCCCAGGGCTGCAGAAGCCTCGTCGTGGCAGCTGCTTTCGCAGTTCGTTGTTGTGTTTCGTTGTGTGTGTGTGGGTGAAAGACGAAAGAGTGTGTGTGTGTGTGTGTGTGTGTGCGTGCGTGCGTGCGTGTGTGTGTGTGTGTGTGTGTGTGTGTGTTCTGTGTGTGGGTGTGTGCGTGCGCGCGCATCTCCCAACGTTTCTACGCCGTGACGACGTGACGCCGCGCGCCTGGCGCGACGCCAAAACATGTGTGTGTGTGTGTTCTGTGTGTGTGTGTGCTTGCGCGCGCGTCTCCCAGCGTTTGTACGCCGTGGCACCGTGACGCCGCGCGCCTGGCGCGACGCCAAAAAGTGTGTGTGTGTGTGTGTGTGTGTGTGTGTGTGTGTGTGTTTGTGTGTGTGTGTGTGTGTGCGTGTGCCGCGACCCTCTGGGTGCCTGTGGCGCGGCGGGCTCGGGGGCCCTTGCCAGCATCGGCGCCGACCCCCGCTCACCCGCGGCCCCAGTCCGACCGCGCCACTTTTGCGGCTGACGGTGCTCCGGGTTTTTGCTCGCCCGCGGCGCGGCGGGTCTCGTTTGCCTTCCTTGCCCACTCCCGTGTGGCTGGTGCGCCCGGCGACGTGGCCGCCCGTCGAATCCTGATTCGGCGGGTGTCTTGCATCCGCAGCCACGACGCCCCGTGCCGAGAGGAGGCCCGCGCCGCGTGGCGGGCCTGGGTCAGTGGTCGCCGACAGAACGTGACAGAAGCCAGCCACATGGACCCCAACCCGTACCTCCCAAGTCCCTTTCCTGGGCAGCCCGCAGGTACCTTCCAAGTCCCTTCTCCTGGGCTGCCCGCAGGTACCTCCTAAGTACCTTTCCTGGGCTGCCCGCAGGTACCTCCCAAGTCCCGTCTCCTGGTTTGCCTGTGTGAAGTCCACGAGGCTTACGGTAGTACCCAGCCGATTTTCTTTCAGAGCTTCTTGTTTCCATTTCCCAGTGGAACCGCCTCGGCACTACTCCCAATTCCCGCTAGCGCCACCCTCTCGTGATCTCTCCCGTTCCGGCCGCCCCCAGCCCTGACCAGCCCTGGGCTCAAGCAGTCATTGATGGGCTCATCCTGCACTTGGCGCAAGCTCCGAGCCCTCCTACGCGGTGCCTCTGGGTTGCTGGCACGTCTTCTCGGAGGCCAGGGCCAGACCGTCTGCCTCCCCGGTCCTGCGCCCTGTTGCCCGCCTCTGCTGCCGCTGCCGTGGGTTCAGGACCTGCGTTCTTGATCTGCGGCCTGCCCCCAGCTTGGCGCGGCGGGGGGCCTGCCTCGGCTGCGGCACGCACCTGGCAAGGGTCTGCATGTGGAGCTCCCTGCCCTTGTCAACGCCGAACCCCTGGCCCTGCTCCGTGGCTGCTCGCGAGCCAGCTTGCTCGAGTCGTGCTACGAGAGCATCGGGGCCGCGGGTCGGATCCGCCTCTCCCTGCAGCGCGACGGGCGCGGCCTGCGCTGGGGGGGCGGCGCGCCCCGCCGTCCACCTGGGCGCGCGCTCTGATGGC